TTCAGGTCTTCATGCGTCTTTATTACAAGAGTTATGACAAATTAAAGTATTAAAATCATTAACTTACCTGTGGCATGACGTCCATACAGAATTTCAATAATAATAAACAACCATTCATTAATTCTTCCTCAAATTGCAGCGAAGGACGCCATTTTCAACTTGCTCAGCCCACCCCAATTTTGGTGTTTTTTTGTTAACTTAGGTTAGGTTAGGTTAAGTTATTGGGTAATAATTTCAGAAGGTAGTGCGCAGTCTTGTCATATATCTTTTGCATACCGGGGCACATCTTCAACACTCAAAGGCTACTACGTAATGAAAATAATTTAAATTTATTCTGTCGAAGCATTCCGTATAAAGCAACAAATTTTTATAGGACATGATGTAATTTACTTAAATATATTTAAATTCTGTCGTAATATTTGTAATTATGTATGATGCATTGCACGCGACAATCATTACGTATGATCGTACATAGATTTTTCATACATATTTTCACTATTTTTTCTCGCTATTAAAATGGTTCTGCATTCAATCACTAAATTTTCATGTCTATTTATATATTTGAGGTCGGAAGGCACTTCCTATTAAATATATACAAACATCACTTCCATAATTGAGCTATGAATATTTTCTTCGCGACTTTGAGGTCTTCGTGCGTCTTTATTACAAACGTTATAACAAAATAAAGTATTAAAATCATTAACTTACCTGTGGCATGACGCCCATACAAAATTTCAATCAGATCCGACAACTCCTTATTTGTTTCTGAAACTCGTGCGCAGGACGCCATTTTGAAGTTGTTCGGCGCACCCCGATTTCGGTGGTTTGGGTTAAGTTAGGTTAGGTTAGGTTATTGGGGCATCTGCGCAGAAGGTTGAGCGCAGTGGTGTCATATATCTTTTGCATACCAGGGCACATCTTTAACTTTATTATTTATTGCTGAAAATTAAACGTAGAAATATTTTTAAGAATTCACATTTTAAGGAATAATCTGGTATTTGAGTTACTTTCGTGCCTATTTGGCGCAATCATTTTACAATGGCTGCTTACATGGATACTTTGTAAAGAACTCAACACAACCCACGTCATGATGTTTTTATGCACTGTTCGTTGTTGCTTTCTATAAGTTGTCTGCACACACACACACACATTTTTAATTTTTTTAAATCTATTTTGCAAGTCATTCTGAAATTATTAGAGAGATCATATTCTTCCTCAAAAATAAAAGAAATGTTTATGTAAATTAATCAGATTGGCGCAGAACCAGCTTGTGGATGTGAATGTAATCTGGTCGTCACTGACTTGTTACTAAACGAACGAACGAGTAATATAAAGTCAATTTTCATTCCAATCGATTGTAATGACGTATCTTGTCGTCTCACAGGCACACTTGTATCACATGTTAGGTTTAAAGTTTTGTTTGACTCCATCTTGTTTACGTCCTTGAAGGGACATCCTGCAATCATGTTCTCTGTATGAATCAAATAGTATATTTCGAACTATCTAAAGAAATTTTCGTACTTATGCTCCATACGAACTGTATCCTTAAGCACGAATGAAGACTACCTTGTTCCTACCGAAACTCAATAAATTTCTACAAATTCAATCGCAACCAATCACTCACGACCAGCACAGTTCCACGACAAAATCAATACTGACAGACTTTCACTTACGGCGCTAGACATTGATCGCACCCATCAAAGAAGTAATATAGATATCGTAGGAATCGGTTGCCGTGAACATTGGTTCATGCCCCATCCGTTAGAGTGTGTCAGTGTGTTTGTTTGAAAGTCCTTATTTACCTATGTGGCTCGATGATCGATATATGTTGTAGCATCGTGCCATCTCGAGACTTTGAATAGAAGTGTCTTAGTGTCAGTGCCATCTGTACGCAACACTCAGAGGCTTCTACGTAAAGAAAATAATTTAAATTTCTTCTGGGGAAGCATTCCGTATTAAGCAACAAATTTTTATAGGACATGGTAAATTTACTTAAATATATTTAAATTCTGTCGTAATATTTGAAATTATGTATGATGCATTGCACGCGAGAATCATTACGTATGAACGTACACCGATTTTTCATACATATTTTCACACTTTTTCTCGCTATTAAAATGGTTCTGCATTCAATCACTAAATTTTCATGTCTATTTATATATTTGAGGTCGGAAGGCACTTCTTATTAAATATATAAAAACATCACTTCCATAATTGAGCTATGAATGAATATTTTCTTAGTGGTCGTGGCCGATTGCGCGTCTTCCACTTCGCGACTTTGAGGTCTTCGTGCGTCTTTATTACAAAAGTAATAGCAAAATAAAGTATTAAAATCTTTAACTTACCTGTGGCATTATGTCCATACAAAATTTCAATCAAACCCGACAACTCCTTCTTTGTTCTTCAAACTCGTGCGTAGAACGCCATTTTGAACTTGTTCAGCGCACCCCGATTTCGGTGGTTTGGGTTAACTTAGGTTAGGTTAGGTTATTGGGGAATCTGCCCAGAAGGTTGTGCGCAGTGGTGTCATATCTTTTGCATACCGGGGCACATCTTTAACTTTATTATTGATTGCGGAAAATTAAACGTAGAAATATTTTTAAGAATTCACATTTTAAGGAATAATCTGGTATTTGAGTTACTTTCGTGCCTATTTGGCGCAATCATTTTACAATGGCTGCTTACATGGATACTTTGTAAAGAACTCAACACAACCCACGTCATGATGTTTTTATGCACTGTTCGTTGTTGCTTTCTATAAGTTGTCTGCACACGCACACACACACACACACATTTTTATTTTTTTCATTTATTTTTCAAGTCATTCTGAAATTACAGAGATCCTATTCTTCATCAAAACATAAAAGAAATGTTTATGTATATAAATCAGATTGGCGCAGAACCAGCTTATGGATGAGAATGTATTCTGGACGTGACTGACGTGTTACTAAAAGAACGAACAAATGTCTTTCGTTGGAGTAAATTTCACGTCTAAATTTATTCCACACGACCGTAATCATACTTCTTGTCGATTCACAGGCACACTAGTATCACATCTTAGATTTATAGTTCTATTTGACTCCAAATTGATTACGTCACTGAAATGACATCCTGCAAACAACATCTCTGTGTGAATCACATAGTAGATTCCGACCCATCTCAAGCAATTTTTCCATCTAATGTTCCAGGTGGACAGTATCTTTCAGCACGATACTACACAAACATGTTCATGTCGAAATTGTGTAATTCCAACTCAAATTCAATCTCAACCAATCACTCATGATCATTACAGCTCCAAGACTCAAGCAATACTGTCACACCTTCACTTACGGCCATATAGAACTAATATAGATTTCGTTGTAATCGGTCGCCGTGAACTTTGGATTCATTGCGCTTTCCGGTAGAGAGTGTCAGTGTGTAGGCTTTGAATGTCCTTGAAAAATTATGTAGCAGGATAATCGATATATGTAGTTGAAGCATCTGGCCGTCTTCAGACCTTCAGCAGATTTGTCTTAGGGTCAGTGCCTTCTTTACGTCAAATTGGGTTGCTGGTAATTAATGCATATATTTTAGTACATTTACTTGGAGAAGCATTTCATTTTTCACTCTAAGTTATTACGGTACATACAGTTATTCAGATCAAGATTTTTCGATTTAGATGTAACATCTATATTTACGTATGATGAATTTTATACGCGTTTCATTAAGTATGAAACTGCAAAGATATTTAAATTTATGTCCAATTTCCGTTTTCTCGGTATAAGTATTATTATGCATCCAATCTCTAAAAATATCTTTCTAATGGTATATTTATTGTATGGTTTATTCAACAAATTTCTTGCTCCTCTGTCTGTCGCCTCCCTTTAATTACGTAAATAGATAATATTCAGGAAATTTCTTTTTCTTAATGTGGTACATGTGTGAATAACATTTAATACATATAAACTGAATTGAAGTCACAGAAACGTTATTTTTTGTCGATCCATGTTAACGTGTGAAGGCTGATTTTAAGGTGGAATACAAATATGCATGAAGAAGACATGTTTTTGGTGACAATTTTCAAACCTCGACTAACCTCCGTCGTTATAGATATCAGACTACTTTAAGGTGCAATAGATTTCAGTAAGGGGAGTATGAATTGATATGGATGAAATGCTTATTGTTCTAAGTGTATCTTTTCTTATGGAACCCTCCTGTTGCGGGGATGTCTTCAACTGACGGCAATATTTGTGTGAAAATTATTATACGTAGTCATTTTTACTCCAAAGATGGTTC